CACCTACAGTTGTTTTCTATCATCCTTGAGGGCACAAACGCCATGAATTCAACCTTTATGAAAATATATTTCCTGTAAGTAATTTTTAATTTTGTATATACTGCCCTGTTTTTTCAGAATGCCTCAGGTATTTAACATTGTTTGCTTTGTTGTCAAAACAAACAATGTTTGTTTATATATATAATTTGAATTAAAATACAAAATTATGTTAAAATGTATTATTTGTAATTATCACGTGTAATATGCATATACCACAAACATAAAATTAAACTCCTCTACATTGATTTGTTAAGCTTGTCTTCGTTTTGACAGAAATTACTGATGCATTTCCAATACTTTTTACAGTCATTTGGTTTCAAAGAAAAGCTCACTATATATTTTGAGTTGCTTTGACCTCCATAAGTAATTATGTTTTTACAAGAAATTATATAAATTACCTGCACAAAATGTATCAGATAATAATTATCATATTATATGTGTAGCTGGAATATATTAGATCGGATTTTTTGTAAGGTAAATAAATATTATTTTATTTTACAAAAAAGTTAGTAAAAGGTGTATACGTGAGGTTTACGAAAACGTTAAGAAAAAGTTGCAAAATCATGCTGCGCTCTCGCTATGGGCAATTGATAGAGCCGTCCGCGCGTGCGCAATTGTTGCTCAGCACCAATGACGTCGTGACAATAGCCCCGCCCCCGTCAGAGCCTTTTGTAAAGGGTCACGTTGCGCTGCAGCACTGAAACAGAAGACTCTCCCTCATCCGCTCACCTGCTCTCACGAACCGAGACACCAACCACAAGGTAAGAGCCTCCCTCAGCCAAACACCCATCACTTTAACAATGTATCAATGATTGTATGCATCATTAATATTTAAGGGAAAGCTAATACCAGGAAAAGGTTGGTAATGATGGCTGTCTCTTTCTCCTCAACCTAACTTTATCTTTACTCGTCATCCTACACATTTGTATCGTGTCTTTTAAAATTTCTCACAAAATGGCGTCGTTTCTTATCGACGAAGGGCTGTAATATAAGAAAAGCTCTTCTGTCTTTACAACATATCCGTTCAAAGTTGCGCATTCCAACCGCACATCATCGAAGTACGTAACAGGAAGAACGCAAAAATGAATGACCTTCAAGGGTACGCCTGTTGCGCCAGCTTTCCCGCAACAGCATTCTAGTTCCAAATGCTCAAACTGTTTTTTTTTTTTTTGTTTTGTTTTGTTAATATTATTCAAATAGTAGATGAATATTGTCTCGTTTTAATGCGGAAAAGAGAGTCTAGGTCGATGAGTGATGATGAGGAAGGGGAGGGAGGCGGGGGAGAGAGTTAAGTGCGTATCTGTGCTTCAGCACGTAGACCTCCTCCACCTCTTCTGTCACCCAGAGGCGGATGTGACTGTTTGCGCAGTTTATGCTATTAAAAAACGCCACAAATAAACTACTAAGCGAATATTATTAATTACTAAATGGTCAATTTAATCAAAAATCATCCAATGGAATTGTTTTTTACCTTAACTATTTTTGTTGAATTGGGTTGTATGAGAGGTATGTACTAATATGAGGGAGACAAACTGTCCCAGCTACCATCAGAGAAAACATAAACTTATAATGAATATATAAATATATATATGTATATACACTGTATATAAAGAGATGTATGTAAAGAGGAAGGCCAAAGAGGAGATATATGGATGCAGTGAGGGAGGACATGCAGATAGTTGGACTCAGAGTAGAGTTGCAGAGAACAGGGCAATATGGAAATCAATGATTCGCTGTGGCAACCCCTGAAAAAGGGGACAAAGCCGAAAGAAAAAGAAGAAGATATATACTGTATAAACACAAGTTTAACAACAAGAAAGACACAAAAAATGTTGCTGTAGACAGCAAACATCGCATATGTGCATATCACATAATCATAACATAAGGTTTGCAAAATAAATACACATGGATAGGCTTACTGAAAGAGCTAGTGCCACAAATTACTTCTAAATCCAACAGAGCACTTTTGTTTCTGATATTGGCATATCATTTTACACCACTGGACTAAAGTCATCGCACAGGTGACATCAGGAGTTCTCCTCTCAGGCCTGGTGTGTACTGAAGGCAGCACACTGTTTTTCAAACATGCATAATAATGTATAGTTAAATTACATACAATTTTTATTTCATCAACTTCCACAGATACTATATGACTTGAATTTATAAGACATACTGTATTTTTCTAAATCCTGTTGTGAATTTTAATAGCATAAGGGTACAGAACTATAGATTTTATTTTATATAATGGCAGTTGTAAATTGCCAATGCATTGCTATTTTAGGATGCATTTCTCTTCTTCTTAAGCAGAGGAAAAAATTAGCATATTATCTTTAATGTTATTTTGCATTTGACCTGCCAAAATGTGACATCGATCACAGGCGTTTATCTTATAAATCTCTATGGAAAACAGTTCAGCTGGTGACTCTGCTGGATCAAGGCCTGAAGAATGACATTGACCAAACACTGACATGTATCATAAACAGACTGTTTCCTAACAAAAAGCAGCCTGGGTCAGGTGTTTTTTTTTTTCTTTTGTTTTTGGTTGCTGCTGCTCCTCAGGAGCCTCTTTGACTCATTAGAGATTGTAGAGAAAGAAAAATAACAAGGTGGCTGAATCTCCAGGAGGTACATTTAATTATAAATATAGATGTGCGGGGTAAATAATATTAATAATAATAATTAATAATAATTTTCCTAGTAAAAGCATATAATGTGATCTAATCAGCAAATTTACGTAATTGCAAAGCCACGCTATGTTTAGAAAGACCAGTTGTCACCAATGAGTCCCTCATGAATGTTACAGTATAGTAGTATATGTAGTATATGCAAATACAAACTTTGAATATCATTCTTTAAACAACATTCACAGGTGGAAGCTTGGAGCAGACGGAGGTGACATATGACGTGTGTCTACTCTGGAATTTTTCCTTGTTAAGATATTTTATAGTTGTATAATCAGACAGTTATCCTTTGGTGAACACGGATTAAAGTGGTTCGCCACAGACATGGCGTGAGAGACTTGGCGACGCAGTGCAGAAGTGGCGTATGTCTCAAGAACGACCACAGCGCGACAGGGTGAAAGGAAAGTCACAGTGAAAACTAAGACACAGTAAATATAATACTTATGTCATTATTTATTTTTTAATCAAACTTTAATTGCTCATTAACATCACCTATTGGTGTATGTCTACACTATAACCACCCTACACTGTCTATAATAAATATGACCCTTATTTATTAAACTTAAATCAGATCAACAAATTAGACCTGTGCCATGGAGAGGTCGCCAAATTCCTTAATTTTTCACTTTTTCCATTACACTCTTCTTAAGTGTTTTCTGAATGGAAAGACATCTATAACGAGTACAAGTAGGAAATGGACTTGCTTTGTTGCCCATGGCACTGAAAGTGAACTAAATATTGGCAGATTTTCAAAAAGCTGAACTCTGATTCCGAGTTTCTTAGCCTTCTATCTATTGAACAAACTTTAAGTGTAAGCTCAGTCATTCGAAGTTTTGTATTATAACCACAGTTTTTCCTGTTTAAGAAATACAATGGACATGGTCCATCAAGGCAAAAAAGGGGAAAAACGGAGGAATGTAAGTCAGCTCCAGTAGGGCAGGCGGGAAAGAAGATAAGATAATTATGGACAACAGCTCAATAGACAGTATGTTTAAATAGGAAGCTTCACTCTTCTCATTTGGGTTTTGCATTATTGACTTCACTACATTCTAAGGTCATGCTTGTTGGGCCAAGGCCTGAGGCTTTACAGTTGCACATAAAGTGACTTTCATTCTGATTTTCATAAAAGGAGGCACTACAAAAATCCATCAATGCAAATTTGCTCTAATGTAATTATTGTGATTATTTTAGTAGTTGCAACACAACTTGAATGATTCCTTTATTCAGTGTGTTGCCAGGAAACCTTCTGACTAATTTGCAGGAATTTGTCATTCAAGGTCATACCGTGGCTACCTGGTGCTGTAGCTACAGTATTTTTTCTTTATATTCACAAGGTTTCCTAGTTGAAACTTTTCTTTGTGTTTGACTCATATGTTCATAATATTTAGACATGTTATCTACACACAGATCATTTTGCAATGTTTCCTCAGCAGATACTGAACCACATTGACCCTGGAGTCAGTGAAAATGTATTATTTAAAGCACGCAGGTGCTGGACAAAAGATAACTGGTATTTGCTGAGCCAGGATTGTGCAGGGATATTATTACATGTCACAGCACTCTGTGGGCTCAGCTTTATCATGTTTAAATATTATGTTTTATCCTTTAGAGTATATACATTACATTATGTTTCTGGCACCAGTGTTTCCTTCTCTCGAGAGACACACTGTCCCTGTGAGCTTCACTTTGATCTGGGTATTACATTTTATTAATAAGCTTTAATAAGAACAATAAAACAGATGTAATTAAACCAACGGTTGCTAGGGATATGTATGTAGTTTTAAGATGAAGGTTCAGTTCACATTTATTGTATGTAAAAGTCCCTTCTTAGCTCTTAAATGGTTTTGTTCTTGCAGGTGTTGACTGCCTCTGTGTTCATGTGTGATCTGAGGGTTGTTATCTTATTTATCCTAAGCTGCAGATTAACACTCAGGCTTTATCATGCTGTGTCCTAACACGGCAACATAAACTGAGGTGGAAAATGAAGCTCAAATTTAATTTCCGTAAGTAAACATAGTAAAAATAAACTTACATCTACAAAACAAATAGTAAATGCTGTGAACTGAGGCTGGAGCTACTTGTATTTTATTGTTCACAAAGGCTGTTTGTCACTGCTGGTGTGGCCTTCTCATCCCATCCAACAGCTTCATCTCTAGCTGAGCTAATAAAGGGCTAGAGTCAGGAGACGAGAGCCAACGGCAAGGGATAGCAGTATTGTCGTAAGTGGGAGTGGTTTGGCAACACTGGGTATGGAGCCCAGAGAGAAGTCACAGCATGTTCCCTGGCACATTGATGCATTCAAGGGATCTGCAAAAATGGAAACTTGCAAATCTTACGGTGTGCTTATCATGCCTACAACAAGGTGTTAGAATTCTGTTTCTGTTTTGCATTAACTGATTATGATTATTAAAAAACCATACCGACCAGTTAAAGGTATAGAATGAATTGGTGTGGACATCAGGAGAGAGTGTTGCTGAGGAGACGGGAAGCTCAGTCCTGCAGCCATAATGAGCGCTGACAGCGGTCTATACAGAGCCAATCTTACATAATTCCTTGCTGTCTGTATTCTGCAGATCACAGGGGGGCGGGGTCAGGGTTTACGTAACTCTTTATTTACGGCTCAGAGGAGAAGGGAATAGGGAACACAATAATCTGGATTTAGGCTGGAGTGTGTTGGCACGTTGCAATGACATGGCGGCTACTGAGACCTGACCAGCATTAAAGAGCTCTGGTTCTTCACTAAATTGTTGTAAACATTTTTTCATCCATTTTTACTAATTTCTTCTTATTTATTTTCTATCAAATGAGTGAGCCACTGACTCTTTTCATAAACAATTTCACATATCCTTCTTATTTGTAGAGTGAGAGCGAGAGAGAGAGTGCAGCTGTGTTGTGACATAGAAGGGATGGTAAATGAGGCCCCTGCTGGGCAGTTTTTCCAGCTTTTCCCACAGACAGAAACGAATGTGACCTCCCAATGTCTCTTTCTCTCCGTGTCTTTTCCAGCCACCATGACTCACCAGTATCCCGCACTGACTCCTGAGCAGAAGAAGGAGCTGCAGGATATTGCTCTGCGGATAGTAGCTCCTGGGAAGGGCATCCTTGCAGCCGATGAATCCACTGGTGTGTGAGCTTTGTATTCCCTTATTCGTGAGAAAAGACATCACTTTTAATAATTCCCAAAGCCCTCGTGGGATTAAGACCTTGTCACTATAAAATTACTAGAACATTCAAATAATATTGTACAGCATAACACATTTCTAATTTTAAGGCTTTTCAAGGTTGAACATGTCTGTATAAGTTGCATGTCTGTGTCATATACAGGTAGCATGGCAAAGCGTTTCAACCCCATCGGGGTGGAGAACACGGAGGAGAACAGACGTCGCTACCGCCAGCTGCTTTTCACAGCCGATCAGCGCATGGACAGCTCTATCGGAGGCGTCATCTTCTTCCACGAAACACTCTACCAGAACACAGACGATGGCGTTTGCTTCTCCAAGCTCATACAGGACCGTGGCATTGTTGTTGGCATCAAGGTCTGTGATTCACAATTGCTTTTAAATTATTTTCACTTGAATTAGCGTTAAAAGCATAATTAATCAGCATCAGCAAATGAGTGAGTTCACAAATAAAATAAAATAATAATTTATAATAAAAAGTGCATCTGTGATTTCATGGCTCATTTGATAACTTTTTTGGCTGTGACCCTCATTCATTGTGTTGATATAATATTACAGCCAGTGTTTAAGTTCAGTAGCTGGAGGGGTTTAAGCTAGAGAGACTGCACAGGGAAACACAGAGCCGTTGTCAGTATGTTTAGGTAAACACAGATCTGTCTACAAGAACAGAACATGTTGTGAGGGAAAATAACTTAAAGGTCACAAAATAAAATTTCCTGTTTCTGACTTTGCAGGTGGACAAAGGTGTTGTACCTCTGGCTGGAACAAATGGAGAGACCACCACTCAGGGTAGGAAGCTGCCTAAAACCTCGCACACATTGTCCACCACCTGCGGCTCTATGTCTGATGATGTGTGTGTGTCCAACTGCAGGTCTGGATGGGCTGTCTGAGCGTTGTGCACAGTACAAGAAGGATGGTGCAGACTTCGCCAAGTGGCGCTGTGTGCTGAAGATCAGTGACACCACACCATCTGAGCTGGCCATCTTTGAGAATGCTAATGTGCTGGCACGATATGCTAGCATCTGCCAGCAGGTCTGACCAAGTGGATCTTCTCTAATTTTCTAAAACAATTCTGATGTTCATTGTTACAAAGAGACCCCCCAAAACTAGCAAAGATGCTAAGAAGCTTAGGAACTGCATGGAATATGAACATTTTTAATATGTATTAAATTTCCTTTACCATGTTCTGTGCATTTTTTCCCAGAATGGTATTGTTCCTATTGTGGAGCCAGAAATTCTTCCTGATGGAGACCATGACCTGAAACGCTGCCAGTATGTCACCGAGAAGGTAAATTATTTCAGAGAGATTTAAGAAAATTCTCTCTTAGTTCTCTTTAAGTACTAATTTGAATGCGTGTACCAGTCCTTTTATCATCAGTCTTATATCTGTCTCCTGCCGTCAGGTGTTAGCTGCTGTGTACAAGTCTCTGTCAGACCACCATGTATACCTGGAGGGGACACTGCTGAAACCCAACATGGTCACAGCTGGACACTCCTGCCCCACTAAGTACAGCAGTGAGGAAATTGCCATGGCAACTGTCACTGCTCTCCGCCGCACTGTGCCTCCTGCCGTTACAGGTCAGAGACAAATACGAATAAAGATCACACATTTTTTTCTTTTAAAGGCCAAAGTCTTCACATGTTTAAATTATGACAAAAGGTTTAAGTCTAGGTTGCTTTAATGTGCGTGTTTCTGTCATTTCAGGAGTAACCTTCTTGTCAGGTGGCCAGTCTGAAGAGGAGGCCAGCATGAACCTTAATGCAATCAACAACTGTCCACTTGCTAAGCCCTGGGCTCTGACCTTCTCCTATGGCCGTGCCCTGCAGGCCTCTGCACTGAATGCATGGAGAGGTGAAGTTAATAACGAGAAGGCTGCCACTGAGGAGTTCCTTAAGCGTGCTCAGGTCAGGGCAAAAAATTTATTTCAAATAAAGTGGACCATAATATGTTAAATAATATAAATTTAAATGTTTTTAAACTTTTGTCTTCTACAGGCAAATGGACTGGCCGCTCTTGGCAAGTATGAGTCTAGTGGGACTGGTGGTGCTGCAGGACAGTCCCTCTATGTGGCCAACCACGCCTACTGAACATCAACCTGCTGTGGAAGAGTTCTAGTCTTATATTTGCTCTGCTATTTCCCCTCACACCTCCATAAATCAAAGGCCTGCGCTGTCTACTGTACTTTAGAGTTGTCAGTTATTAAAGTTACATTATTAAATGTCTGTATGTAAATCATAATATAAAAAGGCAAGAGCAAAGGGAGCAGATGTTTTCGTCTATTTGATCAAAGTTTTGAGACATTTTATGACTGAATTTAACACTTATTAATGTCTTGCTGTCTATTGCAGTAACACTGGGACCAGAGATAGAAAGTAGGCAGCAAAATGTTAACAGTAGGTCAGATAATCAGTCAGTATTCAGGTCATTCCTCTATTGCTTTCTTTTACCTAATTACAAACCATGAACCACTCTGGAGAGTCAGCTTGTGTGTATCAGTGTTTTTGTCCTATTTGAACAAATACAGCTATATTGTGTAGAACACACTAACACTCCGTTAACAAATAATAAATAAAACACACCATCATTGATACATGTGGACAAAAAGACAGTGGAGAGACAGTTATTTGGTTGGTTTTTTTTTTAAAGAACTGAGACTGGGAGTGTTTGTTGTACTTGTAGACAGCTGTAGCTCTAGCAAAAGGTCAGTAGGTGCACTTTAACAAGACAGTACACAGCAGAGAGCCATCATACATTTCAGCCTCAGCCTTTAGTTCACAGTTTTTTAATCACCATTAAACCAATGTAAAATCACATCCTGTCTATTCTGAGTATAACCTTAGCTTTGAATTGCATACTGCAATTAATGTATTCAGTTGTGTGAAAGTGTCAATATTATGTGGTACTTGTGTGTCACCCTCCATCCCCCTCTGATTCCCTCTGCGGGCTGGCGGAAAGACAACAATGGTTTCTGGTGACCTAAACATAAAGTGGACCAAGTTGTGGGCTCAGCAGCAGGGAAACAGTCACTGCTGTGTTCAAATACTGTAATGTTTGTGATGTTACTGTTGTTCTTGGAGCACTTGGTGTGTCAAATAGTGGAGAATTATAAACTAAAAAATTAAATCTAAAATGTATTAACTGTGCAGTTTCATTGTTTGTTTTTTATTGTTTGACTCATGTGATTTTATAAAAATTAACTAAACATCACGTAGTAAAAATGCGGGGCATGCTGGAGAAGAAAAGGTATAGGACATAAAAAAGTAAGTTTCAGGTAAGCACGTGAAAGTTTCCCATGGGCTCCATGCCATATAAATGGCAAAAATAGGCTCTAATGAACTTAGTGTTTTTTAAAAACAGCTCTAGCTGGGGTTTAATATAGAAATAATATAGTATGTGAATTTTTATTATTGTTTTAGCATATATTAATACTAGTAGTTTTTACATTCTTCACCATCTGAGGGCGCTACTCGGCTCTAGAAACGCACTGCGTTCGTGTGTTCGATTTGTTTACCGGATCAGTCAAAATCTCCATGGGGCGCTGGAGCCATTCCCAGCTGTCAATGGACGAGGGTGGGTATTTTCTCCATCAAACATAATACATTCTCACTCTCTCTGTAATGTTTAAAATTGAGCAGACGAAAAGAAAGATGTGTGTTCTGATGATTGGGTTTGTAAATTTGATTTGTAACTCTTTGTCAGAATATCTTTCTATTTGACGTTACAAAATAGTGACGTTTATATAGGTCATGTGACTCACGGAGGTACCGTGACATTATCCAACGCACTTTGCTCACACTCCCAGACAGAAATGGCCACCACGGAAGTGGGTGAGTAAATAAATAAATGAAGTGCTTTTAAGACGTGTGGTCTTCATTTACATTTTGACATTATTTTTATATAGATATCTGAGTATTATGTATATATGTTGTTAGTGATTTTTTTTAAGGGCCATTTTTCCTCAAGCGTTAGCAGCCTCCAAACCTAGCAGCTAAGTAGCCGCACCAGCCGGTGCAGCAGAGCAGTGATGCTACTGCCGGTTATTAAACAGTTGGGACATGAGAAGCTGCCCTTAATATACTAGCGGTTTAAAGGTAGAATGTATCATGTGTGGGCAACTAGTCAAAAACGCAAAATCAAGGTGTTAGACAAAATAAAAACATACACAATCACATTTACATTTATCATCATTAATCAGAGCCTCAAACTGCAATTCTTTGTGTGAAACCCTAAAATTGTTCACTGCATGTCTGTTAGCATCAACATTCACAAACACCCCTAAGCTTGTCCTTTTTACTTTCTAAGAACGTCGGCGAGGTCAGCTTGCTGCTTTGTCAATAGCTGCTGTGGTCATCATTGTGGGGGTCCCTCTGTGGTGGCGAACTACAGAGACATACCGTGCCTGGTTGCCTGTTAGTCAGATTAAGGAGTTTGCAACGTTGCAGGTATGTGTATGCTATTATGCGTTAATGCCTAATTGTCCCTCTTAATACTATGTATCATTCTGTTGCAATTATACGATGTCAAATTACTCCAAGCAGTGCTGGTCTAAAAATTAAAAAACTAGAGAGACTACTGTAGTACATTTTTATTATAGCAGGCTTTAGATCGTGAATGGCCTGCTAACCTTTCCTGCACTGCTTGTAGTGTGTTATTGCAGTTAGTTTCAAGACTCCCAGAGGCAGTGAGGCATATGCAGCACATAAGCTCCTTAATTTTATCTGCCTTTATTTGATTGTTTGCAGCTCCTGTTAAGCGTGGATGTTGAGGTTGTGTTTTCACGAGGTACCGTGTCACCAGAACAGCAGAAGAAAGTCCCAATGACACAGACACAGGATGAGGAACATAGAGTAGATGGTAATTTATTCATTTTTATGTGTTCTGTCTTGTGTTTAAACAATATGAAAAATGAAAATGCATTTTTTTCCAGAGAACACAGCTTTAAAGTACAGATATGAGATCAGGTACCGCACAGCTACCATCATGGAGGAGGACGCTCTAAAACAGCCAACTGCTTCAGGTGAGATGATCATTTCCTGTCAAACTAGTTGTTTTTGTCCTATGTCATTAAAATGGTTTCAACATTTCTTTTGCTTTCACATTTTCACTTCAGATGCAGATCTGTCTCTGCACGCACTCAGTGAGAATCCATGTGGCTCTTTGGTCGTTTATGTGATCCCAGAGTCGTCCTCATTGCTCTCTGAGGTTAAAATCCTTTTTCATAATATTTTTCCACAATATTATCTTGAATTTAATCTGATTTGAAAGACACTGACTGTACGGGTTTGTTTTGTACCGATCTTGCAAACAAAGTTATAACATTAAATTAATACTAATTATCTAATACTAATTATGTGCCTCTATATTTTTAGGATGTCGATGTGTATATTGGTCAGAAACGGACTGCCATACTTCGACTTGGTGCCCAGATGAGAGTAGGCAGGACTCTTGAGCAGCTGCTAGCCCATTTGGAGCCTCGTATTAAGAAAATTCTACACATGATGTCTTTTAGTCACACTGATATAACTGCTGCCCTCAGTGACAGAGTCCGTCTCGCTCCTGGTAACAGGGAGAACATCGTTGACAGCATGAGAGCCTTTAAATCCAGCCCTGGTTGGTATTTGTTTCAGTACAGACAAGGGCATTGTTCTCTTGTGGTCAAAACACACATAAAGATTATAATTTGTTATTTATTAATTCTATTAATTAATTCTGTTTTATTTTTTTCCAGGTTATGAAATAACATTCAGCCTTTTGAATCCAGACCCAAAGTCCCACCGGCTGCACTGGGACATAGAAAGCGCTGTGGAGACTTACGTTCAACCTCTGCTCACAAAACTAGCACCTATAGCCAATTTCAGCATTGACTCTCAGGTGTGTCTGCGTATGTGCATGCACATGCATCGTGTCACATCCAAGCATGTGTTTTGTATTTTTGTGAAAAAAAAAGTAATGATTAGGTACTTGGCTAATGTACATCAATGACTGTGTTCTTCTCACAGACCTTATACTACGCCATGTTGGGTGTGAACCCTCGATTTGACATCAGCCGCAGCAGCTACACACTTAACGCCGAGAGTCTTGCACATGTTATCAACCCTGTAGAGGCTCGACTTGGTAAGAGATCACAAATCCAATCGATGTACTGTGACAGAATCTACTGTAGGTTTTACATGTATTTATATACGACATTGGTTCTTATCTTGCCATGTTCTTTGATTTTAAAAGGTGTTTCACAGGGTTGTACTCCTTAATTCCTCAACTTGTTAAAGTCTAATTGAATTTCACAAAAAATAAACTGCTAACAGGGATAACAATGAAAATCTTGCATTGAGAACCTCTTTTTGTAGTCTCAAATGCAACACTTTACCTGATGACCAAATGTTTAACTTTTTTTCCAGGGTCAAATGCTGCATCTTCCAATCCAGTGTTGAATTTCCTACTGTACGTCCCAGATGCCCTTCATTCCCCCCTGCATATTTTGGATCGCAAGAAACAAGCGGTGCATTCTAATGCCTTTCACTCTCCTCGTTGGGGAGGAATCATGGTAAGATAATCAAAGTGTAAAAATTAGAAAACCATTATGATCATGAAAAAAATATTAAGATGTTGTTGTATGATGTTTCTTTAATTTACCCATTTTTGCTGCACTCTCAATTGTGGTCCTACAGAAATAAATAACACGTTCTGAATCTGGAAAACATCCCTGTTTTTTCCAGGTTTATAATGTAAATGATGTATATGGACCGGAAGCTGTGTTACCAGTTGACATCAACATCAACATGGCCAAAGTTATGGGAGTCTTCCTTGCTCAGCTTCGGTAAGCCAACATAGAAGTACACATATATTACTGTTCCTGCCAACACAGAAACCTTGATCTATTGTTTCCTGTCAGGCTGTTGCTGGGTGTGCAGTCATCTTCTCCTCCACCGGGCTTTGTGGTGGCTTCATGCAGCAGCACAGGACTTGCTGATTGGGAACTGGATCGCCTCATGTGGAGTCGAAGTGTGGAAAATGTGGCAACAGCAACTACCACCATCACCTCACTTGCTCAGCTACTGGATCAGATAGGAAACATAGTTATAAACGACAACATAGCGGAGCAGGTGAGATGCACAATTTCCCAAAATGCATGTGCAGATAATGTTGACTTATGTATAGTTTGTTAATGTTGCTGTGTTTAACTCTCAGGTTTCCAGTGCTGTCACGTCTCTGCAGCTAGCGGTGGCAGAGTTGGAGGCTGGAAACCTAGGCTTTGCCCTGCAATACAGCAAAGAGGCCATCTTGGCGTCAGAGAGGGCTTTCTTTGACCCTTCGCTCCTCCATCTACTCTACTTCCCCGATGATCAGAAGTTTGCCATCTATATCCCACTCTTCCTGCCCATGTGTGTGCCCATCCTGCTGTCATTGATCAAAATTGCATCTGATGCTCGACAGAAACGCAGGGAAAAACAAGCTAAAAAAGACTGACGGATGTAGAATTTGATGATGTCTGACAAAAGGACTCAATTTGAATAAAGAATGCACTCAAGGGGGTAGGGGTCCTGATTTTTTTTTTAACTGTCAATTATTAGTGAGGTTTTGCCCAAAACCCATCTGTTTTTATTTTTGCCATAATCCACCAGACCTGAATGATTTTTGATGTGGAGTATTGTCTTATTTAAGATATTTTATTGAATGTATGCTCTCAGACACTGTACTATTGAATGCCTGAATTGTAATATGTCAAAGGTTCTTTTTCTATTTGAATTACACATTTTATGTTGTAAGCAAAACAAAACTGGCGTTACAATATTTAATTATTATTAATATACACAAATACTATGGGATGTGATCTGTTTATTTAAAATGGGTAAAATTTACTTGAAAGCGGAAATTCTGGATGTTTTTTTTCCTTTTACTATTCACGATTTCTGTCAACATCTAATTCATGAGCCACAGTCTAAATGAAGCTAAAATGAAGAATATAGCAGAGCTTTCAAGGTTTTTAAACAACTTACAAGTATTTGGTGTTTCTTATGGTTTTCTATCCCTAATTACGTTTGTCCTATTTTTCATCACATGCTCAATGTACCTACACATTTTATCATCTGTTTGTGCAAATGTGATCCTGTGATTTAAAGAGTAATTTTAACAGAAAGGGAACATTGATATAAAAAAAAACGTTCCAAAAGGAAAAATTGAGAATTTGTATAATAAATGTCGGTGGGAAATGTTCACCAGAAGAAATTGGTAGTGGTGAACGAGTACGAGGTCCATTAAATCTGAACTTTATTAATCATGTGGCTAGTAATTTAACATATGGCGGTGTATCCTGGATCTCCAGCAGGTGGCGGTGTGAAAATTTAAAGCTAGTTTTTGGGATTCATTCGAAGGCCAGAAGAACGTGTCCGTTGTGTCGTTAGTAGGAAAGCTTTAACTTAAAGTACACCGTTTAGCCTCTAAGTTTTCAGGTTTAGTCAGAACATTGGTTGTTACCGGACGTTTTCCTTGTATTTTATAAATAGGTTGCACTACCTAGCGGACAGTTTCCGTCGTTTATTTTTGAGTAGATTGCTGGTGTTAGCCGACGTGCTAATTATCGTCGCTAGCTTGTTTTGTTACAACCATGTCTGGCGGAGGAATCATCCGTGGCCCCGCGGGGAACAACGACTGTCGGATATACGTGGGTAATCTGCCCCCAGACATTCGCTCAAAGGACATCGAGGACCTTTTTTACAAATATGGGTCGATTCGTGATATCGACCTGAAGAACCGGAGAGGAGGACCACCCTTCGCCTTTGTGCAGTTCGATGACCCGAGGTAAGGACAATTCGACGCCGTCCTTTTGGATTAAGAATCATAATCTTCGTTACTTATTCAAAACGTTCTGGTTACGATATTGTTCATTAATTGGACCTTTATAAATTGAAATCTTTATAGATATATGCAGATTTATATATTTTTGTTGGATTGCAAATACTTTTCTTCCTTAAATAAACACTTGCTGGTCGTTACTCCTCAACCTTTATTCCGTTTTTTTCTGAATGCTATAGAAATGTATTGTTTATATTCCACCACCTCACATGTAATACCAGACTATCTCAATGTTTACTCGTTGGGCCGTTTGAAGTGTAACTACAAGAAAAGATGGCGTCTACATACACAAGGACCCCAAACTTTCTTTAAAGTTTGTATGTGAGATGTATTAGTTCAGTTTATTGCCATGGAAGACTAACTGATACAAGTTAAAGCTAAAGGATGCACAAATTATAATTAAGAGCTACAATTTGTGTTTTTCCTTGGTTCAATCTAAAGAGAGTTGGCAATCCTGTATGAATCTGGTCTTGATGTGATTGATTGTGGTCTAAATGGTACCAAGAAAAAGAATATGTCCTGACGTTAGCATACAATATGTCAAGTGCACTAGAATGTAATTCTTTGTTCATTCAGGGACGCTGACGATGCTGTTTACGGGAGGGATGGCTATGACTATGATGGATACCGCCTACGTGTTGAGTTCCCTAGAAGTGGAAGGGGAGGCGGAGGTGGCAGCGGTGGTGGT